GTGGGAGTATAATGGTATATTGTGAAGAGTCGAAAAAAATAAAAAGAAACACAAAATTCAACAGATGGCTTCCATAATACATGAAGTTCAACATCCATAAAACACATACACGTTTTGCTAACAAATGCTGTTTACAATTTTCAAATGATATAACCAACAACAAAAAAAGGCAAGGGAAAGTGAACCAAACATAAGAATATTTTTCAAAACATTATCTGAAGTCTAAAAAGTATTGGGCTTTCATATGATGAAAGTTTATACATTCCGTTCGTCCAATCAAGTTATATTGGTACGCTATAATATTTGAGATTAACTGACGCTCATTTTACTGCTAGGCTCGACGTTTTTTACACAATGTAAACACATTTGTAAGTAATTATACCCTCACTGCAGAATAAAAAATATGCAGATACGTACGTATATGTAAATCGGCATTTATATATATAAGGGATTAGGGAGAATCTCAGACCCCAATGGTAATGGAAATCATTTAAAAATTAAAAAAAGACCAGAAATTTGCAATTAAATGCAAATCGCAATAAATAAGATATCAAAGAAATAAGTTTATATAAAACGATTTTTATAAAAATAGGTGAATATAACGTATATAACGTAATTATGCACTAAACGTATTGAATAAAGACCGTGGAATCAGTTTCTTTCCTCTATTGCCAAAGAAGAAAGAAACATTTTTACTGCTACCTTAGCAGCATCTTGTTGCGTCTCACACTTTTTGGCCTGTGATGATCATGACGATTGCTGTGGCGCTGGTGGCCGTGTGCAATATTGTTTACATTTCTATCAGATTGTGTGTGTGCGAATATATATTTATCTGTTTTCGTCTTATATTCAATAGTCGTCTGAAAAAAAGACCAAGAGGATGATTGTTTATATCGAACAAAAAGAGAGAGCGCCTCTCTCTCTCTCCATTGGTTTGATTATTTTTATCAAAAAAGAAAAAATCATTTTTAATTTATTAAATTAATCGACCGTAGCCGAGTGTTAATAAATTAAATGATGATTGTTTAATTTTTCTTTTTTTTTGAAATCCATAAAAAGTCACAAAAAGTAATTTCATAATAAAATTAATTTGCAGTCAGCAGTCGGTAAGTCCTATGAGCACAAAACAAACATCTCAAGTTTGTGATTGACAATTTAATCCCTCCGTAATAGTATTAAAGCCCTAATAATATTAAATGAGTCTCATCTGCTTGTACTACCTTTTTTCTGTAATTCTTTTTCATTGTCTTAAAATGTACCTTAAATATTCCAGAATTTGTCTGAAGTTGAAATACAATTTTTCGAGTAAAGTCATTAACATTTTTTGGAATCAAATTTCTCGAAATGTTCACGCAATGGTAATCATTGAAAGCCCAAAAAAAGGGAACTTGAAGTTACTTTTATATGCTACCATGTAAAAGTTACGTGAGTAAAGGAACACAAATAGGGTTTACGAAAATAAAGAGGGAAAGTCTAAAAATAATCTAATATGATAATAGGAAATTGTAAGCGTGTGCACAAAGTTGCGTAAAAAGTAAATACAAATAGAAGTTTATAATGTCACAATTGCAATAGAGTGTTATAACAATCGCATTCCATATTCACCATTCTTTACCGCATTCCTTAATCAGCTATTAAAACTAAGACTTTTCTGCTCTACAACGAATCGATTTTCGTGAAACTCCTTACTAGGGTAAGATCCAAAAAATAGCCCCATATGGTCCAAATTTAGTACAGGTAATTTTTTTATGTTAAGTCACTATTATGACGTAATTTTCAAAATTACACTTTTTTGTCGTATGAACTTCAGTTTTCGTTATATGAATTTTGATACCAATTTAGAATGCCCAAATATTACTACTTAATCACTTTAAACGAAAAATTTCCAAAATTAAAAACTTTTTTTTGTGCGGAGTGTTCGAAAAAGTAGACCGATTCGAACTATTTTCAATAGCGTTCACCCTTTGGTCGAAACACGTCAGTGTAGCAAATTTGCTGTAGTTTGAACACAAATTTACGTGGACAGACATTAGACGGGCAGACAGGCGTAGATCAGTTCAGATTATAATTCTAATCTGGTCTGTATAACAAAAGGTGGCTTATCGTAAGCCCTTCTGCGTATTTATTTAATACATCCTGTACCACAAATGGTGTAGGATATAATCACCACAATGAAGAAGATTAGAAAATGAAGCAAAACTTCGACTTAAGTTGAAACATGCAAAAGAGTTTTATAGCTCTTCAACACAGCTTATTTTTAACAGTAAGGTAATTATTGAAATAAATGGATTAACGAAAGTTCCTCAAATTAATCATTACGACGTGTATACGTTTGCACATTACTTATGTAAAAGTTCACATTCACCTGTTTAGCCATAAACATAAATTAAATTTAATTTTCTTATTTCTTCAAAAAAATATCGATGCTTAGGTTCCTCTATTGTATTCAATTTAATATTTAATAAACACGATCGCAGAGGAATTTTGTATTTAATGTCTGTGTTATAAATTCAAGATGACATCTCATCTATTTAAAGAACTTATTGTTGTGCCGGCCACCAAGGCTATAGCATGTTGGTTTTATCATTCCATTTGCAACAGGTAGATAGACAAATGTATGAACGTTATCGTAACATATCGTATCGTGCTCAATGCAAGTTTTTATGCGGATTCTGTAGTAAACGATTCACAAAGTCTCTTACAAAAGTTGAAAAACCGAAGCCATAGAACATTTCTTTAAATTTCCATCGATCTTACGACTTATAGCAGCCACCGATTTGGATTTTTGTTCGAAATGACTGCAATTGCGGTCAGAAAAGCTAAAAATAAGTTTCGAAAAAAATTTCACATTTCGACATATTTTAATTAATAACTTAATACTTTAGTGCACTGTAATATTAAATTTGTTTCGAATGTGCGTAAGACTCTTTTAACAAATAGAAAAGTAGTACCAATATCAGTGGTGTACTACTTTGCCGGCGTTCTTTACAATGACAAAGACAGCACTGAAATTTCATGCCAATGCTCCGAAATTAATTCTATAGAGCGGAAGAAGACACACGTGATCCACTTGTCAAAACGTTTTGCCGTATAGCCAAGAATACGAAACAACCTGGAACTAAGTAAAAATTTCAATGTATGCCTCTAACTTTTGCAATTTTATATCTATGACAAGTTATTATCGCTGCCATTCAAACACGGTAAAGTGTCCCTCAAAGGTCAAATGTCCCTTACAAGTTAAACGTTAAAATCTTTAGCAATAGCAAATATAAGATATTCGTCTCAAGCCAATTTGGTTTTTTTATGTGCTTTGGTTTTTGTTTTAATATGTTTGTTTGTTCATTTATGTGAAAAGAAAAAGCCACAAATCATTATTAAAAAAAAAGACAAACGTCCTCTTTCCAAAGTCATAAGCTTTAAAATGTAAACAAAATAATGCTAGTGCTTATGTATTGACAAAATTCTTTTCATTTATAGCTTTAAATGTCACTTTCGGATGTTTAGCTCAACTTATTGCGTGCATTTTTAAAGAGGAGCCCGTTCGCAATGTCCCCTTAATATGTGTTGACACATTTGAAACAGTAGGAAGCTTCCTTTAGCAGCACACTTTGAATGCTTTGGAAGGAATTCAATTCAGTTTTAACAATAGCTTGTCTGAAATGTCACGTCTCCTGTTGTTTGTTTTTTTCCCTTTTAGGTGATAATGACGATGGAACAAGCATCTAATAACCGTAACTAACGAAAGCTTTTTACATGTCAAGAACCTATTTTCTAATGGACACATACGAGACCGTAAACACTTGATAGAGAAGCTGAACTTTGTTTGGAATTAATTCATTTTGAACACAATTAAGAAACTTCATTTCCCAAGAATCTTTCCATGATAGAGATTTATAAGTATTGAATTTGTCAAAAAAATTAGTTAAGTGATGTATAGTAAATACGAGCTCTAAATATACTTTTAGAATATAATTAATTAATCTGCTTAATTATGCAAATTCATTTATTTGCCATAAGTCCACACATATTACACAGCCGACAGCATCTCCTGTTGATACCATTTAATTGAAAAATAAAATCTCTGCGTGACGGGAACTAAAATCGAAACGACAGCTGTATTTGATTATTTATTCGTGTCTATATAGAATTTAATCAGCAGTTTAATAGGAGATGCAGGCAAATTAAGCTACCGTTAACATTAAAGAATTAAACTGTGAAAGTATAATTAACGATTAAAGAAAATGAGAGGAAAGAAGAAAAAATAATGCCACTAATTAGAAGTTTTAAAGCAATCGTTTGAAATCCTTTTTTTAATCCTAAATGCAAGTCACAGCAATTTGAACTTTTGCAAAATATTAACAACTTTATCGGACGTCACTAATATCAATGCACACCCGAATAGCTACAAAGACGATAAGGAAGTAGGCAGTACTGTACGAATTTCTGTTCAATTTAAAATATTTTAAAGCGTTTTTCTCGTGAAATAAAATCGAACGTGTTCAAACACGAACACAAACCTTTCTAAAGAAGGTTTGTTAAACTGCAATGGATCATTTTATACTTCAGTTATACATCGAAGAAATCCTTTCAATTTTTTTTCATAATCAACATCGGGTGCGTCCGAAATAGCTTCCTAGTTATTTCACTCACGTCAATTTTACTTAACTTAAAAATTAATCAAAGTCTTTCAAATAAGATATCTTCACAGAAACGTTTGAAAAGTTAAATAAATAACTTATGTGAGAAGAGATCAATAAATGAAATCCTATTTTTATTAAAATTCAACTATTTCACGCAAAGAAAAAAAAGAAAAATAAAAAAATAATCGACATAAGAAAGAAAGCTAAAAGTTAGCGTCTTTAAAAAACAACAGAACAGCAAGTGGGAACACACGCCAACTTAAAATTGCGAAATTACGCAGCTATTCCTTCATAAGATAACCAAAATTACTTTCGATATTTTAAAATTGATACGATAGAGGATTTAGTTGCTAGAATTACCTTAAAGTCTGACAAAGACGCCATCAAATCATCCAATTCTTTTGTAGCTGACGAAGCATAAGACTGATGAATAGCATTATTTTGTATAAAATCTTTGTGTTTAATAACTTCTTCTTTCGATGATCTCGCTGCAATAACAAGAAATTTGGTTAACATAATATTATTGTAATTGCAATCAAATTATACTTACATTCGGGAGCATTAACATTTTCTGTTTTAGTTTCACGAACAGTAATGGTTACATGTCGGCCAGGCGTAGGAGATTTGCCGCGCACTCTGTAAACATAATAGTAACAAGAAGAGAAAAAATGACTAGAAGTCTTAAAAGCAATTTTTATTATTATATCCTCTTCACTGGCAAAGGACATAGATGGTAGTGCTTTAAGACACAAGCCGTAGCATTTATTTCTCTGGCTACATTAATAATAATAATAAGAAATCTTTACCCATTTGGGATGGCATAGAGTGATGCATTATCCATTTCATTTAATAAACTATCTACGGATGGCCTTTCTTCGACCGAGGCATAACTGTTATAAGTGTCGTATTTAGAAGTCGATTGGGTATGGAAGCCACTTAGACCCGGTTCTGGAAATTGTAGAGAACGCAATAAATTAATGATTGAAAAGCAGCATATTTGGGAATAAATTCTTAAGAGGACAAAGAAAATAAATGAGTTTTATAACATGTTACGTCAAGCTTTGCTTAAAATGACTAAACATATCGCATTCGAGCAATGTCGCTCGGCTATCAAACTTATGATGAAGAATGTAAGTAAGTGTTACTATTTTACAGTTATGTTACCTATATTAATGTAATCAATGACGGTTTTTTTTAACTTTCCTTTTTAAATCAATATAATAATTTATTTCTAATAATATATTTTAAGCAAAAAGTATACACTAAACGTATTTTCTTGCATTCATTCCTTTAAACTCGTGATTAATTGTAATGCCTGATAAAAATGTTGACTTTTTTCAAATCTAAGTTTGTCCATTTCATAGCAGAATTGAATCGTGAAAAAAATCGTTATATCTTTTAGATAAAGAACCTAAAAACGTAGCTTTCAATTCCACATATAGAAAAAATTTTTCAAAATATTCCCCACTATGTGGAAAGCAGCTTTCATTCATACTCGTTGCAAAAAAATAATAAATTCCATTAACCTTTTCTTTCGTAGCTGGCGCCATTATATCTGGCGCTGCTTAAATCTTCCAATAAAGAATCCAATTCAGACAAATTACTGGCGGTGTTCAGTGGTCCACTTGAACCATTATAAGGTTGCCGTGGTATAGCTCCTTGGTTATGAAAATGACTAGCTGACGAACTTGAATTTGTGCTCACGCCATTATAAGTTCTGTGACCAGATGGTGAAACCGAGGTATGAGTCCCCAAATAGTGCTCCTGATAAACAGGCTGGAAAAGAGAAAAACTAAATTAACAAAAAATTTTATTAAAGCATACGTCTTTTACCTGAGTTGTATTGGTTCCTTTGCCTCTAAGGCTTCCATAACCTGAGGATTCAACATAATTGTTGTGGTATTGGCTTGTGGTTGCTAATGGCACTTGACGTTGTTGTTGAACAGTTGCAACGTTTGTATTATACTGAGGCTGCGGATGACCGGGTACACTGTTTTGTAAATCGGCCAGTAAAGCATCTGGAAAAAATTTTGAACAATTTCGAATATTTGAATATTCGAAAAAAGTGTTTGAAGTTAATTAGCAATTGTTTTACTTCATTTAAGTCAGCTTAGCGTAGGCCTTAGTATTGTGTATTTTGATATAATAATTTACAGATATTTCACAAACTTACTCAAATTCTTTTTTTTTATTCCCAAAGAATTTTATCTAGCAGTATAGTATAGAAAGAACAAAACTAAGGTACTTGCATTACCATTACCAATTAGCACAGCTCTTTTTATCATTTGTTTTTGTAATTCTAGTGAATTGTAAAAACTAATAAGAAAATTGCGGTTGCATGATTAAAAATATAAATTTCATTATAAATTAACTATTACGGACGCTACATTCCGAACCCTATTCTAAGCAATTTCAGAGAAATGTCACAAGTCACAAGGCATTTTTTTGTTTGTGGTTTTTGTAAGGTGCGTTTTATTGTAGCTGCTCGTTCGAAATACCAAAATTGACACACATTGGAAGAAATTATAACAATAAAATAAGTTCTTTCGAGTGCTTTAAAATCAACAAAGCTCTTGCGCATATAGGATGCATGTTCTGAGCCTTTTAATCAATTAAAACTAATAAGAACATTGCATTGCATTACTGTGATCCTAAAAAAAATGAAAACAACTAAATTTTCACATTCTGTAATATTGGGCAGATGCGAGTGCGGATGCGGGTAAGCGTGATTTTTTTATTTTCGAAATAAAAATAGACATTTTTATGAAGTATGTGTTGGATGTATAACTAAGGTTTGGTCGATGGTCTGCAAGTCTGCAGATAGTATCTTCATTTTCGCGAACAGGAGAATGTGTATCACAAGTGCTACGCGGTTACTCTGGCGGATGGATGTACAATTGAACGGACGGATAAGGTCAGCTGCATTCCGAATATGAAACTGGCAAGACTGATAAGAATTTATACACTTTATGAAAGAAATTTGCTTCCGTACGCTGTAAAGGTTTTAAAAAAAAAAGAAATAATAACACGCTATCAAATTGAATAGGCGTGGACGATTTTTTCCATTTTTGTAGAGGTATTATAGCATCGCCCACAGAATATATTTTCAACTTTTTGTAGGTTTATTTACTGTAGTTTATGAGTAATGAGCAAAAAACCAATTTTTTATTTCTTTTGAAAGACAGAGGTGTTCGCACTTTGCGTAGTACTGTAGGCGTGTCCTTCGATCGATTTGATCAAGTTTCAATACTAACTAGCGTACAAGAATTTCCAATTTTCTGTTAAAATTGAAGTCAATAGATTGATTTTTACGACCCGGAGAATATTTACCGAAAGAAAACTCTGATTTTTTTTGTTCATTCAACAAGTATTTCCATGTAGATTCACGTGATATAGGTGTATATAGGCAACATTTTCTAGTTTGGCAGACATGGAGCCTCAAACTTGATTGCTTTTCCATAGCCGTTCTTTGCTAACGTTCTAATAAGAGTTTTTTAGCTTTCAAATGCCATAGGGGAATATTGTTGGAATTTTTTGATATGGGTGCAACAGAGTCTCCAACTTGGCCATTGTCCCATGGTCGAGTTATGGTAAAATACCAAATTTGCAAAGTTTGGTAAACATAGTTCTGGAAAGTTTAATTTATTATTATTATTATAAATTTAGACTAATGAAATAAATTGAGCACAAGCAACACAGGCTATCGGCTCTAATTTAAATAAATGGATATTAGATAATGAGCTTAGCAGTATTAAAAAAGTAATATATTGAATTGATATTCTGTTCTGAAGCTGATTGTAGAACGTCCAAAGGGTTAATCGTTCCAAATGTAATACTTCTAGCCAAAGTTAAGGCAGTTGCAGATAATGTGCTTTATGGTGAGAGTTTGTCCACAACTGCAGATTGGGGAGGAAGACCTTTTCAAGATCCATTGGTGAGTTGCAATTGTATGACCAAGGCGAATTATCGAAAATGTTTGGATCTTCATATTCTCAACATTAGTTGGATATAAAGGTGAAATCAATTGAGGGTTAATGGAAGAGTAGTGTTGATGATGGTATTGTAAATTTTCTTCTGCAATTTTCTCTTTAACTTTTCTTCCAATGTATCTTTGAAGATCCAACTTTTCCATGACATCATCTATAATTAGAGGAGCAGAAGCAGCTTCCTTTGCTGCTCGATCAGCCTGCTCATTTCCCAATAAACCGATGTGACTTGGTACATAACATTTTAATTTTTCCCTCGGGTGTTGTAATTGTATTCCTTAACATGTTGATGGTGCTCCATCTCGAAGTCTAAGGGTTCCGAATAGCTTGTAATACAGACAAACTGTCAGTAACAATGACGGTTTTGAGTTTGTTTTTATGGGCAAGGTTCGCAGCGTGAAGAATAGCTCTGGCTTCGGTTGTGAAAGTTGAAGTACTTTCGTGAAATATGTGGTTGAGAAGAACTCGCCCTGTAGCGTCAACCACGGCACAAGTGGGAGGCAGGCCAAAAGATTTTGAGCCGTCTGTGTACAAAAGATTCCAACCAGTACTCTCCAATAGTTGGGTTTTTTCAGCTATTAGATTCCTGAAGACGTAATTTGGAGTATCTTCTTTTTTGTGCATAGACAGCGAGACGTCAAAAGAGCAGTCTTTCAAAATCCATGGAGGTTTAACACCAAAAGAGCGGAAAATTTTTAAGGAAATATTTAATTTCTTTGCGATGTACAAACAATGGTCAATTGCAGATGGTGACTTTGGAATTGTCTTCGCAATAACAATCTTTCTCACGTCATCACCGAGAATAGATTTGCTTGAATTAAGAAGCTTGGGGACTATTTTGGCTTTCAATTCATAAAGTCTATTTTCTAAAGTTGGGAGGCCAGTTTCGATTATAATATTATTTATGGGCGTCGTCCGAAAAGCATAACAACTTGCTCTGACTGCTTCGTGGTAAACCGGTTTAAGGATGTTGATATTAGATTTGCAGCTATTGCCATAAATTATCAAAGCATAGTCAATCTTGCTTAACACAAGCATTTTGGTAAGATAAGCAATAGTGTTAATATGCGCATGGCTTCTCCAAGCAACGTACTGTATCAAATTCACCCATGTTAAAATAGAGTTTTTTAACAGCAGACAGTGTGCTTTCCAACGATATTTGTTGGAAAAGGTGAGCCCGAGAATATGCAGTGTCAGCACATTTAGTACTGGTAAGTCATTAATATGCATCAGTAGATTATATGGAAATTTCAGCCCCCGACGAGTTTGCCCATGCGGAGATCTCTCGTCCAATAGATTCGAGGATGTTGATTGCCTTCGTGCTATCTTTTTCTTTTGTAAAAATGTATACATCGTCTGCGTAGAGGCAATGTTCCACTCTTGGTACACGACAAGGAATTTTGCCAATTTTTTTTGAAGGCGATTTGGAACATCGTGACAGAAAGAGGAGATGCTTGCGGAATGCCATTCATTAGCGGAAAGGAATCAAAGACATGATTGTTGATTCTAACTATAAACAGCCGATGCGACATGAATGATTTGATGTAGTTGAAAAATTTGGGTCCTACATTCCACGATTTCAAGAGTCTTAAAATAACATGAAGACCAACTCTGTCAAATGCTTTTTCGAAATCAGTTGAAAGAATTGTTACATGGTTTCGTTAGGAAATTGCTTTGCTTGTACAATAATCAATACGTAACACAGCGACGATGCACCCTCTACCCCTCTTGAAACCAACTTGTTGCTTTGTTATCAGATTCTTGGACTCGAGAAACCAAGATAATTTAGATGCCATAATCTTTTCCAATACCTTTGAGAGGCAAGATAAAAGAGAGATTGGGCGATAGTCCGATGCGATGAAGGCATTTTTTAAATTTGGAATTGAAACAACTGTAGTCAGTTTCCACATGCATGGTATATGGCCAGTCAAAAATACCGTATTATATAGGTCCAGTAATTTCTTCTTACTAGACTTAGACATAGCGCTGATCATTTGGTATGAGATGCGGTCTAGACCAGGTGTTCTCCCCTTCAAATTGGAGAGACAACTTCTAAGTTCTAAGGTGGATATGCAATTTTCCAGGAACATGGCACATCTATCTATATTATTTGAAAGAGGTATTGGAATCCTTTCATTTTCGATGAAAGCACTAGAGAAGTTGCTCTCAGAGGAGTATTCGCACCACACTTTACCAAAGTAATTAGAAATCTCATCTGCATCAGTTAAAGTTCCATTGGAAGTGCAGATGGCACAGATTTCGTTCAGATTTGAAGTTCCACTAAGTCTGTTGAGTTTGTTCCAGACAACTTTCATTGGTGTATTTCTGTGCATTCCTCTCGAAAAAAGTTCGAAACTAAGTGCCTTTGATTTTCGTAGTTCCTTCCTGAATAGAACATTGGCCTTTTTTTATAATAACAAATGATCATGATCAGGACATCTCTTAAAGCGGTGTCATAGATCCATTTTATTTTTCCTCAAAAAGGAAAGCGTCTTGTTCCACCAAGGAACCATAACTCGTTTAAAAGAGCTGTTGGATTGAGGAATAGAAAGATGAGCAGCCGTGCGGATCGCTTTACTCATAATAGCAGCATCATGGTTGCAGTTTGTTAAATGGCTTTGAATTCAGAAATGATTCCACCTGTTTGGAGTAATTGATCCAATCCGCTTTATCTAGGAGGAATTTGGCCAGTTTTGCTGGAGTAACAGAGGACGATGAAAGTTTAAGATCGATTATGACTGGAAAGTGATCGCTATTATGCAGATCATCAGAAATAGGCCAGGAAACCAAAGGAAGAAGTGAGGGAGAGCAACATGTTAAATCAATATGTGAAAAAGTATGATGTGTTGAAAAGTGCGTTGGTTTTCCATCATTTAAAATGCAGAGATTGTTTTGAATGAAGGCCTTTTCTAAAACAGTACCGCGAATATTGTTCACTGTTGAGCCCCAGATGGTATTCCAACTATTAAAGTCGCCGCATATTATTAATGGGGGCGAGAATACGGAGAATAAATTGTAGAGATCTTGCTGAG